ATTGTGAATACAGAGAGAGGACTACTGTCCCAACTACCTGTCAACTTCTAAATTTATATCCCCATTCTAGACCTTTTTCCTAACTATCACATCTCTGTATTCAACAGCCTGTGTTTGGATGTCTCTAGATATTCCAAACTCAACAAGCCAACCCAAGTCCCTAATACTCTTCTACAAATCCATTGCTCCTCACAGCCTTTCCCATCTTAGCTAATGGCAACTCCACTTATTCCACTTATCGGCTCCTATGTGTTGGAGACAGTCTTGAATCCTCTTTATTTCTTTCACCCCACCAACAATAGTCCTCTTGTGTCTATGTTCCAAATAGGAGGATACTTCAAAAAAATCCAGGAAAGATGGAACTAAAAGATAATGTACATTTTTTTTTTTTGAAAGGCAGAGTGGACAGTGAGAGAGAGAGACAGAGGGAAAGGTCTTCCTTTGCCGTTGGTTCACCCTCCAATGGCCGCCGCGGCCAGCGCCGCGCTGATGCGATGGCAAGAGCCAGGTGCTTCTCCTGGTCTCCCATGGGGTGCAGGGCCCAAGCACTTGGGCCATCCTCCACTGCACTCCCTGGCCACAGCAGAGAGCTGGCCTGGAAGAGAGGCAACCGGGACAGAATCCGGCGCCCCGACCGGGACTAGAACCTGGTGTGCTGGCGCCGCAGGTGGAGGATTAGTCTATTGAGCCACGGCGCCAGCCATGATAATGTACATTTAACTTGGGCCTTGTGAAGTCTCCTTGTCATTCCAGAAACCCAACACTTCTCATGATCCGCGTTGCTGGCCTCCCTGTCTGAGACCACATCATCTCTCCTGTGATTACTGAAATGGCCTCTTACCTGGCCTCCATTCTTCCACTCCTGGAGGCTCTCAACACAGCAGATAGAGCGAGCCTTCTAATCAATGCTATGTGCAAACCCTGAAGGGGCGCCCATTTCACTCAGAGTCAAAGCTTCCCTCTTCCAGGCTTCCACGACCAGAACCTGGGTCTCTCAGACCTCATCTGCCTTCTCACCATGACCCTTCTCCTCCCACACTGATCTTTGCCTTTCCTGCTATGCTCAGTCATATTGCTGCCTGAGTGCCTTAGTACTAACTGTCCTGTCTGCTCGGGTAACTCTCCAGATGAGAGCATGCACAACTAACTCCCACCTTTCAGATCTTCAGTCAAACGAACATCTTCCCACAGAGACCTCAACCACCTCAGTCCTCCTTCCTGAACCTCCTTTTACATTTTGCTATGAAGTTTATTGCCTTTGAACAAGCTGTACACTTCATTGATTCATTGTGTTAATTTTTCTTGTCTTTCTTCCCCTGCTAGGATATGTTTCAAATGGAAGGGATCTTGGCCTGTTTTGTCCACTAAGAGTGTTCTGCATATAGTACACAGTCTCTAAAAATTATTTTTAATGATTTAGACCTTTGAGTAGTGTGTCTTCCACATACTAAGGCTGAAAAGTGATGTTTTTGGAATATCAAATCTGCTGTCTCTCTAGATGCGTTAGCAGGAAGCTGGATCCCAAGTAGAGGAGCTAAGAAATGTCCCAAAAGCAGAGGCTTAACCTGATGCCACCACACTTACCTCCACCTTTTTGTTCTTATTCCAAGGCTAAAATCTCCATCCTGGGACTTTCTATTTTCTTTTTTGTCTGGGGTTGAACATACCCTCAGCTGGTCCAAGAAATTCCCTATGGTCTTAATTGCTGTTCTTAAGTTGACATCATAACTGGACTTCACTCAAGCTGTCCATGCATGTGTGTCTGTAAGGAAAGGTGGTAGGGAAGGTGCTACATCTCAGGTCAGGGGCCTAGGTAGCTGTGCTGCTTAGAAACCAAAGTTTCCATCTTATTTTCACGATGTTAAGAGATTTTTGCCAAATATTTTCCTAAAACTCAGATATAGCTGTATTTCACTGAAAAGATATTAATACAATGACCTCAAAAATAAGTTGGAATGAATGAATAAGTAATCCAGGAACTTGTATCTGTTAAAAAAAAATAAGAGAGTAAACAGCAAATGACATCAGTTTGATATGATTATTTTACTTGTATGGTGCCACCATACAGATTCAGAACGATTGCAGCTCTCAGCCTCCTGTGAACTGTCTGTGGACACATAGACAATGTGGAACATAAGAATTCTCAAAGAAGGAACTAAGCAGTGGACTGAAGATACCAGTACAAATCTATTTTGTTTCTAAAGAATGTCTTACATCTTCTGAACCCTTGCCACCAGGAACACGGCCTGAAAAGATTATGATTCCAGAGTACTGAGGATGATTCCAGAGTACTGAGGATTCGGTACCAACTCTGGCACCTTGCTGGGCCACTTGTTTACACTGCACTCATGCCAGTTAATAACCGCAGCTTTGGTTCCCAGAGATTTAAACATTTTCATTTTCTACTTCAAAATCATGAAACATTTTGGAAAAGAGACATTGAAAGAAGGAGTAACTTGCTAATATTTTTATTAACAGGAGTCTCAGACCCTCAGGAAAACCCATCTCAGCAGTCTGGTGAAATTGTCCTGAAACTGACAGCAGGGCCTGTCCACAGTTCAGGGCTCCCCAGGAAGGTAAGGGTGATGTTTTGTCAGCAATGAGTTAGGGACACACTTCTCACATGAATGAAGACAAGGGAACAGGGGCAGGCTAAGGAGTTAAGGGTTTGTATGACCTGTTAATGAATTTTTATCAATGTCTGGAAAAAAAACAGAGATGCAGGTATTGTTGAAACAACTTGAGAACAACCTGATGTCTAGGAGAATCTGCTACTTCTCAGCAAAATGGCAAGAACCAAAGGGCAAAAGATTCCATGGATGTCTGTGGCACATGGTCCTCCACATAGCAAAGTGGCTGGGTTTTGACATTTTTTTCCCCATGGCTTACAGAATCCCAATCAAGACAAAGTGATTTTATCACAGTCTTAACCACTGAGCAATTATGTGCTTTTGTTTTGTTTTGTTTTGTTTTGTTTTTGTTTTTGACAGGCAGAGTGGACAGTGAGAGAGAGAGACAGAGAGAAAGGTCTTCCTTTTGCCGTTGGTTCACCCTCCAATGGCTGCCGCGGCCGGCGCGCTGCGCTGATCCGAAGGCAGGAGTCAGGTGCTTCTCCTGGTCTCCCATGGGGTGCAGGGCCCAAGGACCTGGGCCATCCTCCACTGCACTCCCGGGCCATAGCAGAGAGCTGGCCTGGAAGAGGGGCAACCGGGACAGAATCCGGCACCCCGACCGGGACTAGAACCCGGTGTGCCGGCGCCACCAGGCGGAGGATTAGCCTAGTGAGCTGCGTCGCCGGCCAGCAATTATGTGCTTTTAAAAAAATGGAGGAAGAAGTACTGAATTTGAGGAGGGTGTTCTGGGGAAACTGCTGTTCTCTCCACCTGCTCCTAGGGACTCCTCTGGCCCTGTTCTCAGAACTCCTTGATTGTCTAATTCTGTTTTTGTGTTTGTCTTGCCTCTGTTCACCTTTTGCTACTTAACTAAATTTGCTTGATGTTAGAAAAAGGGCCCTTCATGGGAGTCTTGGTTCTAAAATCTAAAATATCATTCCATTTCTGTCAGGCTTACAAGTTAAAACTATGCACCTTGGGGCTGGTGCTGTGGTGTGGCAGGTAAAGCGACCACCTGCAGTGCTGGCATCCTATATGGGTGAGGGTTCCAGACTGGCTGCTCCACTTCTGATCCAGCTCTCTGCTGTGGCCCAAGTCCTTGGGCTCCTGAGAAGAAGCCCCTGGCTCCAGATAGGTGCAGCTCAGGCCATTGTGGCCATTTGGGGAGTGGGCCAGTAGATGGAATCTTTTTTTGTAAAGATTTATTTTATTTAGTTGAAAGTCAGAGTTACAGGGAGAGGTAGAGACAGAGAGAGAGAGGTCTTCCATCCTCTGGTTCACTCCTCAATTGGCCACAACGGCCGGAGCTGTGCTGATCTGAAGCCAGGAGCCAGAAGCTTCTTCCAGGTCTCCCATATAGGTATAGGGGCCCAAGCACTTGGGCCATCTTCTACTGCTTTCCCAGGCCATAGCAGAGAGCTGGATCAGAAGAGGAGCAGCCAGGACCAGAACTGGCGCCCATATCGTACGCCGGCGCTTTAGGCCAGGGCTTTAACCCACTGTGCCACAGCGCTGGCCCCGATAAATAAATCTTAAAAAAAAAAAAAAAAAAAAAAACAAACTACGCACCTTGTAGGGAATGGATTTAAAACATGCAATGGAGAAGATATTCTGAAAACCTGATGCTCTGAAAAAATATTTGCCTCCCTTGAAGTTTCGTTCAGTAAAATCTGCATTTTGTTCTTGGGAGGAAATGTATTTGTGGTGACTAGAAACCCTAAGTTGCCTAAAGTCCTGTGGGACTTGCTCCTAATGGCAGAATCAGCCACCCCTTCTTGAAAGGTTATGCTTTCATCCGGATCTTTTTAACAGAAAAAGTTGACATGACTGTCAGGACCAGCGTGAAACCTGTGGAACGCCTAGGCAGAAAATGTACTTTTCTCTCCCCTTAACTCCTCCCCCCCAATTTTTCACAAAACCCTACTACGCTCTAAATATGTCTAACAGAAATTCTGCAGCGTACTGCGCTTCACATCATCATGAATTATTACTTCAAGCTTTTTGTTATTCTTCTTTTAGAGTCTTTTTTAAAAAGATTTTGCCCTTGGCTTCTGCAAGCCAGCGCCTTTAATACAGGCTTCCTGAGGCAGCGCTGTGGGGGTGACTCTACTCCACAGCTCATTTCACACCTGCCCGCACCTCACCCTCGCCGGCAGGAAAGCACCCCTGCGCACCGCTGTGAGACTCGCAGGTAGGCAGGCCCGGGAGACCGCCGCCTGCTCCCGAGCTCACACCCTCCGCCCCGCCCAGAGACGCGGCCCCGCCCCGACTGCGCGGGACCTGCGCCGCGGGGGGCGTGGCCGCGAGCCGCAGCCAATGGGTCTCAGCGGGCCGGCGGCCGGCGGCTCGGTTGCCGTGGTTACCGCCGCGCGGCCCCGCCCCCGCGCCGCCACTCGAGCGCGCGGCGGAGCGCTGACTGGAGTGGGAATCCGTGTCTGTGCTGGCCGCGAACGCGCGATGACCACGTGGAGCCTCCGGCGGAAGCCGGGACGCACACTTGGACTTCTGCTGCTGGTCATCCTGAGCTTCTTGGTGCTGCGCAGGTGAGAAAGAGCCCCGCCCAGCGCCTGAGGGACTCCGCGCACCCCGGCACTCACACCTCAGGTCTCGCCTCCCGCCATCGGCGAGTCTCGAGTTCCCACGGGAACAGCGCCGGTCTCCCGGCGCCCTGGAATCCCTCTGTGCCTCCGGGCGCTCTGCTCCTGTCTCGGCAGCCGGCCTCCCGGTGGCACCACGGACCGCCCTCCGAGCCCCTCAGATTCCCGGTCCTTGCCCGCACCTGTGATGCCGCGCTCTGCGCCTCCTGGGCGCCCCAGGAGTGACCTGGCCGAACCCTGACATCCTCACTGACGCCCCGCCGGCCCTTTCTGCTCTTGTCCTGAGCCCGGTGGCCAGCGCTCCAGCGCTCAGGGCTGTGGTGGCTTTGGCCCGTCCCGCGTGGCCACACGCACGCTGCTCCATGGGCCTCCGAGACCTCATTTGTTTGCAGCGCCCCATGGGCCCTCTCGGCTTCCCCGCTTTCACCGTCCTGCGCTCCCGTTTGACAGAATGTTTATGGCAAGTGGCTGGGTTCAGTGAAAGAGTTACCCTGTCTGTGTAAAAGTTTCCTGGGTGCGCTACCCCAGGATTTCTCTGAACTGTGTCTATTTATAGGAATGCCCAGCCCTGACCGTCAGTCCGGCCCATGCCTGGCAGTTTCCATATTCAAAACCTCTGGTGGCGCTGGAGCAGCTGCACGGTGCCCCACGGTTTGGCTCTGAACAGGGCTGAGGGGCGGAAGGCTGAGCCCTTGGAGTTGGTGTCAGGCGCACCACCCCTCAGCTTTGGCCTTCTCTTGCTCCCTCCATGCTCTCCCTGAGTGTCTCTGGACTGCCCCCGGGAGCAGGTTGTTTTTGTTGTTGGTTGTTTTTTTTTTTTTTTTTCTGCCAGGAAAACACATATTTACATTTACACCTTCTCAAGACTCACATCCTGACTTTGTTTCTGCAGTGGTGAGGATAGCATAACATTGATTTGGGAGAAGAAAATTGTTTTCTTACCACTCTGAGGTCCAAAATAACTTGCTCCCAAGATTTTCCCCACCTTGTCCCGTAACCTCGAACCCATTGTTCTTTGAAGATTGGTCCTGGTTCTCATGGGACGCTCAGCTTTCTTCCCGGTACCAGGCTGATGCAACCCCCAGCAGAGGCAGCAGACGCCTCCTGCATACCGCAGAGTAGCAGGGAGCCTGGGCTCCAGAGAGCAAGGCAAGCAGTTGGTGGGCAGAAACATAGCAGCCTGTGCAGGAGATCAGACTGGTCACTAGAAGGGGTGGGACCCCGGGCGTGTAGCTGGACCAGGGAGTACTCCCTCATAGTCTCCAGGAAAAGGTGACAGAGGCCAAGTGTTTGTTATCTGTTGGTGGGGACGAGGATCAGGCAGCTAACGTAACTGAAGAGGCTTTGCCTCTCACAGAGGAGTTAACTATGTACCCATGCAGGTGGATGACCCCAGGAGTCAGCCTGGGGTCAGTGGAGTGTCTACCAATGACGACAGAGAAAAAATAATTGTGACCCAAGACTATGGAAATAGTTTAAATGCTTGGGAAAGTCATTGTTTTCCTGCTACACTTTCTTTCTTGGCAAGTAAGAGATAGGCCAAAGAACTCTGAACCAAGTTCAGGGCCTTCTCTTAGGATTTACATATATATATTAATATCCTTTTGATTGCATCACCCTTATGGCTGCTTTTTGCCAAGTTTCTTCTGGCCCACTGGGGTGGGACACCAATGATGGTGAGTTGTTTTAACGACTCTGGAGGCTGGAGGGAGAACATGCTCTTTTGTCTCTCCACTTCTACTTTACTCCAGCTTTGAGTGGGTCATTAACTAAGTGGGACTTAAGGCCTTCCCCAGCTGTTGGTTGGGGAATGTTGATGTGACAAGTGAAATACAGGTCCCATGCAACCTGGCCGCTCAGCTCCCAGCTTTGTGGAGCCAAGCTGTCATGATCTGCCCTATCCCTGCACCCCAGGAGATAGTGTATGGAGGATAGCTAGAGGGGAAAGTGTTTGCCAGTAGCTTTTCTTTTTTTCTGTGAAATATTTCTTGGGCTTGTTCATTTTCAATTATAGTTCTATGATGGCATCCTCCCTAAGAAATTGGAGGACCAGGTTGATTTGGGGTAGGGTTTCAAACTATTTTGTATTCCTTTGTCACCCCTCCTTCCATTCCCCCCTCCAACTTTGCTCCCCCAGTCCCAAGCAACCAAGGATCTGTTACTGTCTGCCTCCCTCTACTGGTTTTCATGTTCTGGAGTTTTATAGAAATGTGACCTAATGTGCTGTACTTTTCTGCTTGGGTTCTTTATTTTATTTTATTTTATTTTTTTGACAGGCAGAGTGGACAGTGAGAGAGAGACAGAGAGAAAGGTCTTCCTTTTTCCGTTGGTTTACCCCCCAATGGCCGCTGCAGCCGGCACACCGCGCTGATCTGTAGCCAGGAGCCAGGTGCTTCTCCTGGTCTCCCTTGCAGGTGCAGGGCCCAAGGACTTGGGCCATCCTCCACTGCACTCCCGGGCCATAGCAGAGAGCTGGACAGGAAGAGGAGCAACCGGGACAGAATCCGGTGCCCCGACCAGGACTAGAACCTGGTGTGCCGGTGCCGCAGGCGGAGGATTAGCCTATTGAGCCACGGCGCCGGCCTTGGGTTCTTTCAATGAGCATGTATTCTGAGATCTGTAATGGGTGTATCAATATGACCCCTGCCTTTGAGCCAGTTGCCTTTCCTCCTGTTTCCTCCTTTCTCTCTGTGAACAGAAGAATGCCTGCTTGATATTTCTGTACAAATTTTTTCTTCTCTCCTTTTTATTTATATAAATAAAACAGATTTCATTATTTCATATATGTAATTTTAAGAACATTATAGTACTTCCCTTCCTCCCTTCTATGCTTCCTTCTCCTTTCTTTCTTGCCTGCTTGATACTATCAAGGCATGGTTTCCACTATGATTATTTTTCTTTAACACTTACATTAATAAATTATAATTACATCTTAATCAGTAAATTACAATCCAATCAGCTTGCATCTTTCATTCCTGGAATTTTAGCTGGCAAAGGTTGGGAAAGAGGAAAACCATCTTGGGCATCGAGCATTATTCTCCTAAAAGATAAGTCCATTTCTTTTTCATCTCTGCCTCCCTCACTATTCCTGCACTACAACTCCTGGATTCCAAATTCTAAGTTCTTCCTGTAGGAAAGAAGAGGAGAACCCATGAAAGGTGGATAATTTAGCAATGCAGGCCACTTGCTTTGATCTTAGTCATGATTAGTTCTGTCCTCCAAGTGTACATGGACAAATTGTTTCTTCCTGAGCTTCTGTGAGGTCATTGATTTTATGAGCTTTGTCTGTTCTACTCTGCTTGAGGCCACATCCCCTGGAATGTTCAAACTCTTTGAATGCTCTCTTTCATCTCCTCCTAGAGAAGTTTTCAGCATCCAGGAAGTGTCTCATTCAGCAGGTAATCATCTGTATAAGCCACCTGGACAGTGGCTTATAGTCAGGAACAGGTGGTATGTCTGAGCCACCTTGCCCTAGGGAGGCAGTTGGCACTGGATTCTTACAGGGGACCAAGCTAGCCAACAACTAGACGAGGTCAGAGTTGTCTTGCGGCCTTGACATTATTGGTGTATTTGTGGTTTAAGGGACTGAGACACCCAGAAGACTGGAGGGCAAGAGCTATGTAGACTTAAAAGCAGAAATATCAGCAGGTTATCCAAAGGGTTCTTCCCACCTTGAGTCAAGGAAGTAGCAGGTGAAATAAAAGCACTTAGTTGTTAATGAAATGATGCAGAGTTTCACTATGTCTCCACAGATGCTCTGTACTGGAGCTTGGAGAGAGTTTTCAGAACACTTAGTATTTGGAAAAGACTCTGGAGTGCAGGCGTCCCCTCTGCTCTCTTGTCTCCCAACCCCCTGCAGAAACAGGATTCTTTAGGTGTAGGGGAGCTGGCTGCTTTCTCTCCACTTAGTTTCAGCTTTTGTTTAATCTGTCACCCTGAATGTTAATGGCCCTGCTGAAAAAGAGCTCTCTTTATGTGGGACTCCTGGGACAGAAGGACAGCTATGGTTTTTTTGAGACTAATGGTAACCAACCAAATATTTCTTAAGAGACTCTTAGCTATTCTCACTGCTTCTGGGCTCAGACACTAGTGAAACACTTGGAGGGGAGGTCTATTTTCAAGAACAAAGTGTGGTTTTCCTTACAGGTTTGTTTTTTGTTTTTGAGTAGGTAAAATATGAAAATGTGAAGTATTCCAAGTATAAGGAGAAATACAGTTAAAAAGACTCCACCTCTAGCCCTTAAGCACTCCCACCAACCAGAGGTCATTGCTTTAATGCCTTCTTTTAGAGGCTTTCTATGCGTTCCAAGGAGATAGCCATATATATTTTCCCATTTGTCCATTATCCACATCATTTATTTATACAGCCCTCTCTTGATGAGCATTGATTGTTGGCAATTATTTTAGCTACTGTAAACAAAATTACAGTGAATATCTCGGATCTTTGAGAGTTCTTCAAACAGTTTTTGGAAGATGAGATTAAAAGATAAGTTTATTTTGATACAAAAAATTCTGAAATTCAAGAATATGGGAGCTTTTGAACAAGTTCATGGAAAATGTGTATTATGAAAAAACTATCAGTAGACTTCAAATATTTTTTCCATCAAAATAAACTTATCTTTAATTATTTTATTAATTTATTTCTATGTATTTATTTGAGAGGGAGAGAAATAGACACAAAGAGAGACAAAGGGGGATCTTCCATCATCTGGCTCATACCCCAAATGCCTGCCATGGTTGGGGCTGGACTACATCAAAGCCAGGAGCCAGGAACTCATTTCAGGTCTCCAGTGACTTGAGTTGTCACCACGGCTTCCAGGAAGCTGAAGTCAGAAATTGGAGCTGGGATAGAACTCAGTTACCTCAATTTGGGATGTGACATCTTAACTGCATCTTAACTTGTAGGCTAAATATCCACCCCCTAAAATTATTTTTTAATTTCATTT